CGTAATGTTTTTAAAGTGCAACGTTTTGTTCTATAAGGTGCATCATGATGAAGGATAAAATGAACTACTACTGTAAGTTTTGGTATGTTATCATGTTTGTTTTTAGTGCAGAAAATGATGTGATTGATATTAAAGTATTATGTATATCCAGTTTTTAGATGTATGTTGCGTGGTATTTTTGGCGGGAAGCTGTTAACATTATTAATTATGGAGTGTCGTGATAAAGTGCAACGTATTGTTTTATAAAGTGCATCACGCTGATATATAAAGTGCACTCCTTTATATGTATAATGTATTTATGAAAAGTAAATTTAGTAAATTTAATTGTACATCAATATGGCATTGATGATTGAAATAATTTATAATTTATTACTATAACAATATATTTATTGTCTTAATATTTTTTAATTTAAGTGTCATTTGTTTAACAACATTGTGTGGTGTGCATTTTTTATGTACAAATATAGTACAATTATTAATTTTTTTACAAATTATAAATTGACCCAATTGACTAAATTGTTATACATTAAAATATACAAAAATGCAATTTGGTCCACTGAAACTACAAATTGTCAAAAAAAATGACCCCACAATCCCAATTTTAAGTTTATGTGATTGTCGGCCATGAAGTGTTCAGCCCCGACGGGTCCTCGTCGGCGGCGTCCGCGAGGAGAGATATCACGCGGACCATGTCGCTGTAGACGGCTAGGGGCGGTCGGTCTGGTGCTTGTCAAAGAAAGTGGCCGGCGGGACGAGAGATGGCTCTTGCGTGAGGCTGCTGTTGAAGGTGGTGGAAGCCTGTGAGCAACGAGGCCAGAGGCATGGTTTCTGGTGGCGGAATCATCGTGGTGGCGGCAGCAGAACTCCGACGGTAGGTTGGAGGAGCAGGTGACGAAAAGGGGGCAGCTGGCGGTGGTGGGAGCGGTGATGGAGGGGACTCCGGCGAGCGAGGGAACGGCCGAAAACGGTGGCGGAGCGACGACGGCGATGGTGAATGAGGTGGCCGCCGGTGTATGTGTATTTACGCGAAGTGTGTGTGTGTGTGTGTTGGTGTGTGTGCGTGTTGGTGTGTGGTGTGTGTTGCAGAGTGAGAGAGAGATGGATGGTGTGTGTTGGTGTGTGAGAGAGAGATGTGGTGGCCTGGGGTGGCGTGAATGGATTGGTGAGGGGGGTGTTGACAGATTAATTACTTTGGGGTGGGTCTCAATTTGTAGATGTGGCGTTTAAATTACAGTAATAGCCTTAATGAGATATATTTTTTGCTTTTTTATGAATGGTTGGATCATCTAATCCTATGGCTGTGATGTATTCTTATTTCTTTCACTGAGAATCATTCTCATGTGAACCCAACCCTATATATATATACATATATATATATAGAGAGAGAGAGAGAGAGAGAGAGAGATTTAAGTGAGTAATTTCGGCATGCATTAAAAATAGTATGCATTTCTATTGGTAAATTGTAGTCTTTGATAACTTATCTGTTACTTAGAAAATTAGTGAAGTATTTCTAAATTATTTTGCTTTTTTTTTTTTTGAGAAATTAGTATCATTTAGTGAGAATTAAGGAATTATTTATAGCAAATAATTTGTTAGTTTTTTAACAATAAAAAACTATATACTGTACGTGAAATATTCTATTATTTGCATTGAAGTAAGTTACTTAACACTGCATGTGAAGATCCTCGCGATCCGACTGAATGCATGTTTAACACATAATTTGTTAAATTTGGTGAGGATGCTTTCTTGAATTGAATTTGTGGTTGAGTTATGAGTATTTATTAATGATTCAAAGGCTATAAGGCTAATTATAGGTTGATTAGGATATTTTGTAGATTGAAATTTTAATTATTTGTTGGTATTATCTATATGGAAGTTTCGTAAATATACACATAAATCTGGTCCCATAATCAAATGCAACATTCGAAAAAGGCAAAAAAAAAATATATTTAAAATTTAGATTGAAATTTTCCAAATAAATCATGCAACTAATAATGGTAATAGCCGCAATATTTGACACAAATAATTTTGTACATTAATTTCATTGATTTTATTATATTAAAAAAGAATTATCATTGTGACGAATCGAACATAAAAATTTATATTATTTTAACCAATTAACTTTATTATTTTTTTAAATGTTAATTACATTTTTTTTTTTTTTTTT